ATATATATATATATATATATATATATATATAGCGCCAAAGCACAAGAAGCGTCCCTTGCAATCGCACAAAGGAGAGGCAGGACGGGGAGCGCAACTTATGGAGGTGCACTGAGAATGCTCCCTCTTTTGGCGGGACGGTGTGCGGCGCAGCAGCGACTCAAGGTGCTGGGCAACCATCCTTGGGGCAACTGGACTACAATGACTTTTTGGAAATCATGAAGATCAAAATGAACGAGAAACCAACTCGAGAGCAGCTGAGCAAAGGCGAGGAAAGCCTGGCCCTTGGTACAGAATATTTTCCTGGAAACTGCGAGGCATGCAAACACTCACTTAGAGCATTCCTTTCCATAGCGCGGTTGCAAATGCTGCAGGTTTCTTGGCGCTTGCAAATGGGAAGGATGTTATCACCTGGGACGACTTGAAAAAGGCCTCTGTCGACTTAGGGGAGAAGTTGTCAGACGAGGAGCTTCGAGAAATGCTTGCGCACGCTTGCCGTGGAAGGTCGTCGCAGGTGACAGAAGAAGATTTCTTCAGAATACTACGGAGCTAACGGCCAATAGACCTTGTATTTCATAAAAATGCACTCGCACATCCTGAATAGGGTTGCAGTAGAGACATCATCGTACTAGAGGTTCCCATAATAGCATAGCAAATCAGGTTGTACGGACGGGAAAGCATTAACAATCTCAGCAGAAAACCCACATTTACGGAAGTTCTACGACTAGTTCAGGAACTAGGCTGTATGCCTGAACAATGCTTGGGTTCGTAATAGTGATATCTTCTGCGAAACCGGAAACTTCGCATCTTGATAGTGGATAAGTCCACAAAAGTGAGACGTACTTCATCTCCAATCAAGTGGCATGGAACATTTCTTGTCGATACGCCGCATTTCCCTGGTATTGCAAACATACTTTGTGTAGTTGGGCTCCACGGAACTGGTGCCATCATGTCGGAGTGAAACTTTCCGACCCACTAAATGCGCGAGAGATTAGTTGCATTCGCTCTAACCTGAAAGTATGGCGGAGTAAGACAGACCGGCTGCAGGTGGTTGGTCGTGTGCTAAGTTGTTGAAGTAGCACCTTGCATGGTGTCAGCTACACCCATTTTCTGCAAGATATGCCACGTTTCTGGAATTAGAGAACACATTTCACAGGCTTGCACATGGTTAGGCTTTCCAAGGAGCAACGGGTAGAGCGAAAACTACTTCCAAAGATGATTACTGAGCGGCGCGCTTCCTCAGCAGCTGCAGATTAGTGGGGACACGCACAATGGGCATCCTGGGGAAACCAGAGGTAACGAACTAGTAGAGCTCGTGTAAGACTATCCCTATCCTTAATTTGAGTGAGGTAACTTTTGGTACGGTATGACCATGTTGCTGACGGGGCACTTCTAGGCATTCCCGGTGATTCGAGAAGCAAATGGCAACTGCATAACCCCTAGCGTCGAAAACGTTGAGCGGTTGCCAGCCCTTGCGGCATCGAAGCAATGCAGAGACTAATATCTAGTAACTGGATGCGCTCGTGGCTCTACAATACCTAGGGGAGTGTAGGTATTGTGGATTGAGCCAGCACCCGCCTAAACGGCCCTTTTCATAGTATTCATTGTACACACCTGCCACTAGCTAAGCAAATATTAGCTGAAGTAGATGGCAGCGTTTTTTTCCGAACTGGGGCTAAAGCGTGCCCCGCAACCCTGTTCACATATTCAACTACCTCTTGCTTATTCCTAAACTTGAAGACCCTCTATTCATGTACATCCGGCGCGCTCAGCACTTGTTATGCCCTTCAGTGCCTTTTACAATGTAGTCTACCCCTTCCCCCTCTTCTGGACTTCGGCTGACCATGCATGTGAAAAGGGAACATCCGTCTTGCCTTAGTGTGAGATGATGCTGCGTCAACAAAGGTTAAGCAACCTTACTTTACTGCTCCATTGGATATTTCACGATGGTTCATTGCGCTTATGCTTAGAGATGTCGGTAATATTTGAGGTTGTTCTGGACCGGTGGTGCTAACCACCTCTTGCCACTATCCATTAACCTAGGTGCCACGAACAGTGGCCGCTAAGCATTTTCGGCTAGAAAAGAAAATCGGCGTAGCTGAGGGTCCAAAATGAACATGAAAACTAGGCAGATGAGCAGCTGCATTTGTACAAAAAGACCTAGCAACGTTCAGCAAAGGGCCTCGAGGGCGCCAGTGCTGTGACAAAATGCATTCGATCAGCCTTGCCCCTGAATCCTTTCTTCTGGCAAATCAGGTGGATCCAATCCCTTAAGAAGCCTGTAACGGTAGTGGATACGTTTCTGTGCTTGTTCAAAGGCTGAATCTAGATCCTAAGCAGGAAGCACACCATAGCAACGAACATGCAAATCTTCACACCCTTGCTAAACAAATTTCAACTCAAATAGGAAGTGTTCGCGCGGTGAATATTCAATCCTAGATATCCATCCAGGAATAGCTAGTCCTGTATATTGGCCCGACAGGCAAACTTTATTTTCATTAATACTTTTCCAGTTGCAAAGCGGTTCCCAGGCCTGCTTACTTCTCCCGCCATCAAATCAAAGCCTCTGAATGCATTACGTAACTCATGAGGAAACCGGACGAGTACTTCGTCAAAGTGCTCAGCGGAGAGACGTGCCAAGGCTGTAAATGTTTTTGCTTTCACTGTTGCCGACCGCTTGGTACCTGGCAGACAGCAATAGACGACAGAACGAGGAGACATGCACATGCAGGCTGTGCGCCTTGAAGCAGTGATCAAAGAAGGCGCTTTTAGCAGTCACCACCCGAACCTACCAGACCTTACCTACTGTTAGAAGAGCCAGTTCTCCAAAGTAATCTCCACCAGACTTAGTCATGATGACGTTACCCTCAGCGGAAAGAACCTCTACGCTGCCCTGAACCAAACACAGGAGCGTGCCTAGCTTCCGCTCGCATTCTTCGCAATCCTAGGAGCATCGCGCCTTCATTTTAACGTAGGCACTTTTAAGCGCGACATGATGCTTGCCTTCACCTCAGCCACGGATCCTTACAGCTTCTCAAGCTCTTTTGCGCACCAGGAAAGTTTAAGCAATTAAACTACACGCAAGAAGAAACGATAACGAGAACATTCAGGGATGAAAAACCGAAGCACATACTTTTATGATAAAAAACATGCAGTCTCCTTGCTGGCCAGCGCGAATGATGTAGTCTCCTGGAGAATAAATCTTGTCTTCGAGTCTCATTACGACATGCTTGGTGAACTCTGGATCACAGTGCTGAAGAATCAGCATTCACACTGCAAAACTCCAATCCTTATTGAACTCAGAGGGCCCTGCCTATTCTTTGGCAAGCACGCTTTCCCGGGAAAGGAATATGGCACTCTATTGTAAGGTGTAAGGGGGCTTGCCTTAAAAAAGTTTGCCTTGCTGACAAGACCTTTGTAGAGATGCAGTTTAAGCTCTTCCAACAAAGGCTCATTTAAGGAACTCATGAGCTTCGTTAGAGCAAACGTGTCCCTGCTTGAATGAACATATCTGCGTAGACAACAGCGACGACGCCCATTTCCCGCTAGTTCATTCCATTGATGTTATCGCCTAGGGTAGTGTTACACTAGACCAGTGGCCAAGTGACAGTTCACATGGCCTGCATCTCATAAAGTTTATTTCCTAAAGGATCCTCCTTACCGGAAGTATTGGTCCACACGCTTTTGCATCTCTGCGGGGACACGTAAGATACGCATGGCTTCAGTAGAGAAAGCCATATCGTCGGAGTGTTGCCCCTCAAGAAGATTCAACCGTTGATAGAAAACCGTAATTTCACCAAATGCCATGGCCGAAATAAGGGTGCCGAAGGGGGCGACGATGCAATACTGAAGAAAGACCAGCAGCTCTTGGCGTGTGTAGCCATATTTCGTCGTAGTGCACAAGCATACGTTGGAAGGCTTGTTTTGTAATAAAGTGTGTAGGTAACATCAAAATGGTGAAACGCTCACCAACAAAAGCTCGTCAGGCGATAAAATATCGGATTTAGATACCTGGCCGTGGATAAAGTTGATTCCGTAGGCGTAGCTAAATATATACTCATCAACGGGAGCTGCACGAAGGAGATCATATTACTGTCCTGGCTTTGAGATGCTCATCAATACAAAACTACAAAGGAGGAAAATCTGCGTCATGGATTGCACACTCCTGGAGGGCATTGTGGCGACTAACGGTCAAGCAAGGCGATATGGCGCTCCCAGAGGTCTTGAGCTTCAATCACTATGAAAAAGACGCATCCCACAATATGGTTAACGGTGACGAGAATGAAGATAAGCCATATTACTTGGAACCAAGGCACACGGCGAATCCTGTCCGTGCAGGGGGGCCACCAAATAATGCGGTGCAAGCGGACGAATTTTGCCAACATCACAAATAGAAAGCTACTCTCACCTGAATCCACAGCACGCCAACCTTTCAAAATAGTACATGGTGAAGAAGCACCCAGATGAACTCTGCTTGTATAAGATGTACTCCCTTCATCGCCGGGATACAAAAAGTTTGCTGGAGGCTAGCTGTTGGTTTTGAGCAACCCGCAGGTGTTGTGATAGTTGCCATTGTGCAGGGAAGGGATAAAACATACGTTGTTTTGCTCCAAATAGCAATGGAGATATCAAGCATGACAATATATCGGAATAGAATGTGACGGAATGCAAATATATGCCGATTATGGTTTCCCTGTGTTGGATTTCCGTCCTGCGCTCCCGGTCGATAACGCTGATGTTCAACTCCAAACCGACGCCAACAAGGTAAATCAAGTCAAGAACCACGTCTAAATATAGCAATGGCCGTGAGAAGGGATATGCACGGCAAAATGCTACAAAAAACGACGAGAACCAAATAGTCCATAGCGTGATGAAACACATGGTTACCCCCTCAATCTTTGCAACCCAGGAGAGGTAAGACCAAACACCTTCGTCAACCGGTTGTTCCAATTGATAAATTCGTCTCATTTCCCTGGCTGTAGCGGGAGTCATACGTTCTCTGATATCAAAGGTTGGAATAGATGCAAGTACAGAATCTCGCGGGGCTGTGGAACGGCGTGAGCGCCTCCTGCCAACCTTCACATGCGACATGGCTCGATTCATTGTGTTCTGAATGCATTCCGGCATGCTTGAACACCACGATACTCCACTTCTGGACCTCGTATCCTCGCCAAAGTAATCAATTTGCACATGTTGAGATCCCGCCTTTCGCGGTGATCCCGGTGAGATAATACAACTCCTTCGAGGCTCTCTCTTGGTTTCGGAGACCCACCCCTGTTGCTCGCCACCATCGCCCACTCGCGAGGGATGCGAGCCCCAAGTTGCAAAGCCATTGTTGCTGTGGATGCTCAGGGCTTCAGTTGCTTCTCCAGCTACATTTCCCTCAAGTACTACTTGCTCATGAGATGAAGTTCTACTTCCGCATTCAGCACTCATGGATAAGGGGATGGTGCAGCCTCGACTCGACCTTCAGTAGAGTAATGGAAATTCTCTATAGTGGCATGGAGGGGGAAAATAGCAAGAGCTTTTGCGTTCCGTCGCTCCAAAAAAGCAAACCTGAAGCACCACCAAGTGATAATTTGTGATTTCGACCAGCATAGCCTGCAAATTGTGCGACGGCAGCTTGGTCCGTATCTAATTACTTGTCAGATAATTGTACGAGGACAGCGCCAGTTACATTTACGCAGATCGTAGCTTGGGGATTCGAAGTTGCGAGTACAAGAGCCAGGGCGAGTGCCGCGAGTGCCACGGTGTCGGAAGTACCGGAGGTTCCCACACTAATCTTCGAATGAGTCCTTGTTAGAGGTATGCAATGGATCCAGAATACAACGGGTTGGTTGCTTTACCACAATTGGATTGCTTCATGATCATTTGTTCCATGGAGAGTGACCATCATGGATTCTTTCTTGCGGCGAAATCTAGGAATACGCAAACTTTCATGCGCATCAAATTTCCGAAGAAGGGGCCTCTACTACATATGTTTACGAAGTGCTTATACGTCAAACTAGGCCCACCAACCATATTCCACACCGGAGGCCAACGCACTGCTGCAAGTAAACGTAACGCGGCAGCGGGACCGTAGCTCCTTGACTTGGAGCTAATCTTCTCCTTTCACTAATTTTCAGAGAACAGGTAAAAAGGCTTTTAATCTACTTTTACTAATTTTTAGAGAACAGGTGAAAACATTTTTAATGGTAGAGGGGAACCGCTCGATCTTCGGCTGAATGCATGTCACACAAGAAGTGACCTCAGAAGGTTTAGGGCTACGTCTGTGGTCTTACTCGTTCCGGCAGCATCGGAAACGTGCTTCCTTACCCTCACTTTTGAAGGCTCAAGTCACAGTCTACACTATGATACGAAAGAGTGCCCCTTCTCAGGACTGCCACGTAGACTGGTAGTTTTGGAGCCCATCAACCCGCTTTCAACTTTGGGTAACGTCATCGAGAAATTCGCTCAACAACTACCTCTTGTAAACATAGGAACGAATGCAGGACAAAATCTTGAATGCTGTTAGTGAACAGGTAAATGACTTCCTGGAGGCTCCTGTGGGAGTCCTAAATGAAAGTGAGAGATTGCCACGAGTCCAAAATGCAGTCGGTCATTGCGCAGCTGCCTGAAATAATGACAAAATGTATCATATGTAGAGATGCCCTAAAAAGTGAGAACCTTAAGAACTGTGTTTTACGCTCTCCGCTTGGACTTGCAACCTTTTCACAGGGACCGCTTTGAAGAACAGGAGATGAAATTCCTCTGAATCCTGCTAGTGTCTATCCTTTGAATGGATCATGCCGCCGTTCATTCGTCCTTGCACGTCTGTTCGGCTGGGTTCAGCGACGGTGCACCTTCGAATGCAAACCAGCGATACAATCATATCCTTACGCGAATCGGCCAAAAGCAAGCAAAATATGTATTACTAGTGGATAGTTGACAGTCAAATGCTCTGTCTTCTCACGCTGCACTACGCCACCGCTGCGATGGAGCAGGCAGCCCGCGGTGGCACAGTTCCAGCCATGTTTAGCAGCCTGAATGCTTTAATACCAATAAGCTTGACCAGCAGTTTGGAATGTGTATTTTTAGTGTTGCTTTTGGTCACGGTCGGCATCCGTACAAAGCTCCACCGCTCCGTCACCGTGTTCCAAGAGATTGATTCAGAGCACAAGCAGGTGCACCAGCAAGCGCTTTCTTCGTTGGCCTTTCGAGCCTGCTCAGATCTTGGCAATATGATGACCCCGTGTAAGCAAAGCTGTGAAACACGGTGTTTGCTGCTTCCGATGCTACTGCGAAGCGAAGGGCACTTCCTTTTTAAATACGAAAGGAGGCGCTATGTTCAGGCCGCATGAGTCGCTAGCGAGACGAGCTACTCAACTGCATAATTTTGTGCACATCGTCTACTGTGCAGGTTGCCTTCAGAACTTGTACTTCCCAGTTGCAACCTTAAAACGACTGTCTAGAGATAAATAAAGGAAAAATCAAGGTGATGGCCTGTCAACAAACCCGTGCTGTACGGTTATAAGGCCAGAGCACAAAGAGTATTTCTAGACAACGGAATAGCGCCCCACCGCTTGACGCTGGCTGCTCGTCAGATTCAGTGACTTCAGCGCGATGGATTCCACCAGCTCGTACACTGCATGCCTGTACCACAGCCGCATGACAGCCGCCGCACCCTGAGATAGGTGGCTCTTCAACATGCAAAAATAATGAAAATTATTCGGATACACTATACACGCTACAACACTACGACGGGTTGCAGGGCGCAGCGCCGGACACACGAAAAAAGTCTGAAACCTACCTGGCTCTCTGAACTTGAATCGGTGTCGGGGCAATGATTTCTACGTGTAAAAACTTCACGCCCGGTGCTAGCTGCGTGCGGTGTTTAAGCGCCGGTTCCACGTGCTGGCCTTTTACATACAACACAGCTCCCGTTTCTTCCATGATGCGTGACATCAGTTCCTGCGACGCAAGCAAAAGATGGTGGAACCCTAAATCTCTCTACTGGATTTTCAGACGTTAGTCACAAATCACCGGAAGGCACTATTGCACCGCAATGAATGATTATCTTGCCATCAAAGGCTTTAACTGGAGAGAGACACCTGCTGATCTCAGATTGCGCATTTTCGTATAAGAAACACAGCCCTTTAAAGCAGCGTGACTAACCTTCTGGGTAATTTTGTACCGGGCCACCTGCGGGTAGTCGTTAATTTCGAGCTCATCAACGAAATTGCCTGTCTCAGGACAGACGAATCCCTTTTCAGAAAGTCCAGGCACCTTGCCAAGAGTCGGGTTCGAAGGCGCCGAGACGCTACTGATGGCTGCCGCTAGCTCGGCCGAATCCTGCGCCCGCAACACATGGTCACTTAAAGGGCAGCGCGGCTTACGAGAACAGAATTTACCCAAAAATAAGACTCAACATGATAAATGCACAACCACTGGGCAGTACTAATTAACTGGAGAAGTACAAAAGCTCCCTGCAGTGCAATGCACAGGCAATGCAGTAGGCTACAACGGCAGATCCTCCTCTTATGGCGATGCGCACAGAGAACGCCTTTATCTTGTCAAGAGCTGCTTGGAGTTGACCAGAGCTTGCTGTGGTGCCTTGCTTGAGAATAGCTAAGGCTTCCGCCGCCGCATCCATAAAAGGGTCCTTCTCTTTTGGCAGCGCTTGGCCTGTGACGGAACTAGCCAACGCCAGCTGCATGCCCGGCGCTGCTTTTTGTTGAACTTTGGGGCGAGGTGATAAGTGCTTCTTGTACGCTTCACGCAACTTGTCCTTGTATTGCCCTCGGTCTGCCTCTGGAAGACCTTTCAGTGCCTGCTGGAGCATGAAGTCCACCTGCAACCACAGTCGCGCGGCGCCGGGAAAAACGAGAGCTGCCGATATCCATGCAAGAACGTCTAAAAGTAGATGCGGCCGCCTGGGCCGCTCTAGCACTACTGGAACGCTGCCACTTCTGGATTCCGGGATGGCAAGCAACGACAAGCACACCCACAACACCTCCCCCAAATGGGAACAGCACAAAACACTGGTTGCAGTAATTTCCATATGGATGGAGAATTTCCTAAGCAACACCCCGAAAACGTCCGCCCAACATCGCCAAGTGGTCACAAAACTAGAAAACACTCCCATGCTTTTGCCGCATCCTGTTGTTTGCATGTACAAGCATTTTAAGTATGCAAAATGGGACAGCATCTTATGTTAATGTGGTATACGCTACCTGCTGGTCCTCCGTCAGTTTTGTCTTTTCACTCCCAGGTGGTGGTAGACCTGGTGGTGGAGCCGGAGGAGTGGATGGTGGTCGTTTCGCAAGCTCAGCGTCCTGCAACTTCAGTATTTTTGCTATAAGCTTGACGCGCGCCACACCTTCTGTGGAACTCGTCGGCTGTGTGACGGTGTCACCTCCAGCCAGTTGATGCTTTGCCAGTAAAGCCGCCTTTGCAGCAGCAGCCTCCACTGCTGATTGCAGCGATCCCGACGTCGCTGAGGCGCTGCCACCTTTTGCTGCCGCGGCAGCTGCAGCTGCTGCCATCGCTGCATCCATTGGAGACATGGTGTTGGTAAGCGCCAGCTGGGAGTTATTAGGAGTTGGGGGCAAAAAGTCATCTCGCTGGAGCAGCAATTCAACCTCCTCAACTTCATCAAAGTCATTGGCCCCAGACAGTTCTTTCTTGGCTTGCTGCATCTGCTGCTGTTGGCGACTTTTCTCCGTAATGGAAAATGTAAATCCCTTCCCTCCAAAGCCGCCCCTCTTCGTCTTTTGCGCCAATCCCATGTTGCACTGAACGCGGAACTCCGAACTGAGCGCCGCCAGAGCCGGAGGGACAGTTTGACCAGACTGAATCAATGCCTGCAAAAGTCAAAAAGAAATCAAAAGTAATTGGCATGGAGGAACGCAATGGGAAACCTACCCAGCGCGCTTGGTTTTCACCAAAACATATATATCAGTACAAGGCACGGCACGCGGAAGCGCAATCATGGTTGCATGGCGCTCGTATGCGCAAAGTGTTTCAAACAAGAAGAAGTGAAACACTTCATGGTTGTGGCTACGAGCAATGTACAGATAATTGGTGCTGTTGGGTAGCTGCCGATTGAGGATAGAACACATTCGCACCCCTTCAAGCTCTTCTGCTTTGTCTGCCTCTTGAGGGGTAATGAACGTGTATGAAACCCCAATATTTCCCGCCCTCCCTGTCCTGCCGATGCGGTGGACATAATCTTCAATGTGCGAAGGACAGCAAAAGTTGATAACGAGGACGACCGACGGAACGTCGAGCCCACGCGCTGCTACACTCGTTGCAATCAAGAGCGTCTTCGTGCCATCCTACAGGCAAAAGAGCGACACGAAAGCGATGCGCGGGTGCGACTTCGTGGGCCGTCCAATGGCATCGGGCTGGCAACTCCGACCTACGGCCAAATAGCCACTTACTTTAAACTCTTGAATCGTAAACTCGCGGTCCGTCTGGTCTTGGCCCCCATGAAGCACAAGCGCCTGATAGCCGTACTATATACCCAAAACAAGAGCACACGGCAAAAAGCGATGCCTCAACTTGGACAACCCGATTGCACCCATTCTCAAAAATGAGACAGTGGAATAAAAACTGCTACTGCTGAGTCCTCAGCCAATGCACGAAACATAACATGGACACAGTGGAGCAATAACGTCCGACCACGCAACTCGACAAATTGTGCATAAACTGGACAGGGTCCGAACCGTAGGAGCTTACCTTCAAAAGCTCAGCAAACAGCTCATCGGCTTCTATCTGCTTGTTTACGAAGATAATGATTGAACCATAGTCTTGCCAATCCCCTAAGAGTTGCAGTAATCTATAGAGAACCACAGGCACGAGCCCACACAAACCCACATGCCTAACTGGATTTGCCAACACTAGAACGAGGTAAAACAACCTGGTAAAAATGTCTCCAAGGACAAAGCCAAGTGAAAACCTTCCTAGGAATGAAACTTCCCCCCCAAACGTCTGCAAACTGAAACAGTAGAAGTTACGCTGTAGGCAACCCAACACCCCAGATGCGCCTCGCGAGGTTCCTCAATTCATTGGCAATACGCTACCTGTAGAACTTGCGTTCTTCGTCCATCACTTCCACGTACTGCTGCACCTTTGCAGCTGTTCGGCCCTTCTCACCAACGACAACTTCAATCGGCTTGTAAAGGATACGCCGAGCCAGAGCTGCGACAGCAATATGAATGAACAAAAGCACCAAGTGAGGAGGTTCGCTAGGGACTCTGCACTGTCACAATGCAGAATAATGAAGACTAGATAACCGGATCTCCTGAACTGCCGTGCTTCCTAATCATTCCTGCAATTGCACTCCCATGAGTAAGTGCTCGCCAACCGTACATTCAATGTGGGAAGGGAAAGTTGCAGAGAAGAGACAAGTCTGTCTATCAAGGCGAGTGCTCCTCAGGATGGAAGAGATCTGCGGCTCGAATCCGTAATCAAACATCCGGTCGGCCTCGTCAAGCACTACGAAGGTCACGCGCTGCACGACAAAAGCATTTTCCAAGCATCAGAATACGGAGGCTTCAATAGCATACACTCCCTATCGGCGAGATAAGTTTGTGGAGACAGTTTTGCAGAAGGTAGATACCTACAACAAGGGCAACATGGTGCGAAAAACGATGAAGCGTATCCGGCCTGCATGCACTTGTCAAACTCAGCAAGCCCCGTGCAATCCTTGCTTTCAACGAGTACCCGGCATACCTTAAGGCTTGTGAATTTGCAGGAGTTGAGAGTCAGAACATCAATTAGCCTCCCTGGCGTTCCTACTACGACATCTACCCCTCGCCGTACTTGCCCCAGTTGGCTGCACAACCCCACGAAACGTGAAAAATTGTGTGAAAAACAGTCACAACAGATGTTTACTTAGTTGTCAAGCGACGCCATGAACACACCCATGCACTCATGCAAACGACGCCCACACTTCCATGATGGCAACCAACCCACGCCTAATATCCTTAGCAACACGCAAGCTTGTGAAGAACTGCCGGTAGGGAAAACTTGCTGCACTTGCGCCTCGAACGGTTTGTCTGAGAAGGTACAAAGCCGACTAAACTAGTACTGGACATGAGGGCCTACACAACTGTCTTCGTGCGCCTGCTCACCCCCCGATGCCCGCCCCTCCATAGAGGGAAGCAACGTTCAAGTCCACCAGCTTGCATAAACGAGAAACCTCTTTTGATATTTGAAGCGACAACTCCCGAGTTGGGGCAATGACCTGCAACATGCCGAAAACGGCACAAAATTCCCACAGAACAGCTGCACCACAGCCGCGACACACTGGCCACACTGAAGGGCTTCGAAGTAACCAGACATACTTTCAAATGGGTAGCACAGCGCTGGAACCAGCACACAGTTCGTAATAAGAGTACATGGGGGGAAAAGGGGGTCTCCTACCAGGCCAATCATTCCCTCCTTGAAATTTCCATAAATCAACATCCTTTCACCCTTTTCGTTCTTCCGGTATCTGTCCTTATCTTCATTATCTCCAGCTTGTTGCTTCCCACTCCGTTTTTCCTTGGGTTCTGAAGCATTATCCGCGCTGGGGGCCGCGGCGTCAGCTTGTCCTTCCGCTGCACCTTGCTGCTGGCGGTTTTCTTCCTGTTGCTGCAAACTCAGCAGCTTCTCCTCCTTCTGCTTAGCGAGGTACTCCTTATATTGCCTTTTAACGCTCAATACGTGACGCACAAGAGGCAACGTGTAGGCCAAGGTCTTGCCACTGCCTGTCTCGGCCACAGCGATGAGGTCTCGCCCACACATCAAGATGGGAATGCACTGGCTTTGAACCGGAAATGGCTTTTCAAACCCACGCAGTTCTAGATGCTGCAAAGAGTCCGCAGAAAGCAACAAAGTAAAGCGGCATTATATTAACGTCAGCGCTGTTGTGTGCCTATGCATGACTCCTGCCAAGGTCTACAGCGCCACCTCCCCCAGTGCCTCCACTTCAGCCTTCGTTAGGCACTGACTCTGACAGGACAGCATTGTACTAAAACTTTACTGAAGCCAAAACGAAGATGGGGCAAAGGCGTACTCTAAGGATCTTTTCTGGTAAACCACATTGGTGGAAGGAACTGACAGGACGAGGACACTGCTTCCCACGAACCTGAGAAACAACGGAAACACAAACGAGACAAAATAATGTAAAGGGTAAAAAGTGAGGAGGACGAGGAATATCCGTCACTCCTGCACACTGCAATTATCTGTGCAGTCTTGAGCGGGCTGTCTCTGAAGTTCAAATTCCATCCATGGTGCTGTCTGTGCTGACAAAGTCAGACACTATTCCTCTTTAAAATGAAGATATATGTGCCCCTATCCGTTCCAGCCGAAGGCATATTTGCCAGCAATCTAAGCTCCTCGAGAAAATAGTTAGTTGCGTACTTTGATGTTTCCGTTCGTCTTTCGGATCGCTTCCACTTCGTGGTCCTTCAAGTCTGTGAGCTCCTTCACCTGAACCACAGATCCAACAGAAACAATTCGACGATGGAGCTTGCACGCTGTCACTGCAAATTCTACTGCAGCGAGTCGTCCCGCTGCTCAATCAAAAGGAAGCAGAGCCCTACACAAGCCAACGGCAAGCGCGCGGAAAGCATGAGGAGGCAGACGAAAGCCGAGTTTAAAACCCATGTAAGGCAATACGGATAACCTTGAGACGGCAGGGAGTGCAGTCAGGCACCCAACGACCTTTACATGAGCCATGCAGTAGCAGAACTATCGGCCAACGACTGCAAAATACCACGCATCAGCAAGCCGCTGACCTGCACATATAGGTTCTTCTTAATTGGAGGAAACTTGCATGAGGCATGGTCAACAAGGGGCAGTTCCTTTTTAAGTCCAACGCGCTGCATGCGTCACAGCAGCACAACACTCTGCAGCCTCTCCCATCTCCATGGAACTGAACCTCTACCCCACTACATTCAATTCGTGCACGTCTGAAAGAGTTCCACGTCTACTCAACCCCATTATCTTTTAAAGCCTCTCGTCACTACCCATAGTCGAGGCCCTGGAATTCACCTTCACTAAGTCGAAGTAAGACAGGTTCGCGAGCTGCTCCTTGGCTTGTTGTTCGTTGTCGTCATCTTTCTTCCCCTGTCCTGAAGCAGCACCTTCTCCTGTCCCTGCAGCGGCTTCGGCTGCCTGTGCAGCTTCTTCCTCCTCTTCCTCGTGATCCGAGTAGAGAAGCACTTCTTCCTCTTCAACTTCGTCTTCATTTGAAGCCTTTCCCTTACCTTCGCCAGAGCCACCGTCCCCTGGACCAGATTGCCCTTTGAGGCGGCCTTTTCGCAGGGTCTCCAGGAATAGCTCGTGATATTTCGCTTCCTCGGGGTCAACCTCATCCGCTGTCGTTGTTGCCGCTGCTGCTCGTGACTCTCCACCTTCACTCTTGACGCCGTCAAGCCCAGCTGGGCTCGTCGAGGAAGCCGCAATAGCAGCGGCAGGAGCTGGAACCGCAGCCGCTACTGGCCCGGCTGCAGCTGCTTCAGCAGCTGTCGGGGCAGGAACATCTGCTGCTCCTGCTTCTGGCTCGCATTTGACTCGGGGAACATCCGACACTGGAGGAGAGGCAGCAGCAGCAGAATCGTCGAGCGTTCCCTCCGTTGCACCTTCAACTTTGGTGGCGACAGCAGATTCTGCAGGCACAGGTGCTGCAGCTGCAGCAGAAGCATCTGCTGCAGCAACTGCAGGAGCTGCTGGTTTTGCCACCGCGCCTGGCGGAAGGTACTCAGCTTCAACCTCCTGCCACCTGCTGATCTCCTCCAACGAAATGCTTTGGGGCCGCGGTGGATCTGTGCTGCGGCTGGAGATACACCCCAGGGCTTCCACTTCACCTGCTCCCTCAGCCTTGGCTGCACTCAGCTGTCACAGCAGCACCGGCAGACAGGCAACAGCACAAACAAGGTGGAGAGGATAATAAGCTCAGAGTAACAGTAAACGGCCAATCATGCAAAGAAGTGACACGACTCAAGAACGACAGATACACGAGAAATTGCAACATTCTGCAACAAGAACGCAGCAGCAGCAACAAAAAATACTCACCTCGTCCTTCGCCTCCGTCTCGAGAGCAGACATAAAGGCATCCAACAAATCTGCATCTCCCTTGGCTTCTGGGCCAGCCTCAGATGTCTTGTTCTGCAGCTGCTTCAGCAGCAACGCTTGCTGGTGCTTCTTCAGACGGTTGCGAGACATTGGCTTTGGGGGTTTCATCGTCCCCTTGCCCCCATCAGACGCAGCAGGAGGACTCGTTGACGCCTTGTCGGAATTTGCTGCTTCTGCTGCAGCAGGAGACGCGCCTGCATGCTGATCCTGCACCTGCGCTGCTTCTTTGGCGCCCTCCGACGCCTGCTGCTGCGGCTCTTTTTCTACCGCAGCACAGACAGTAGCAGCACACGCGGAAGCGAGATTGGCAGCTGCGAGTGCAGCAGAAGCAACGGCTTGCGCAGTAGCAACAGCAGCAGCAGCTGCTGCTGCGGACGTGGACGTGGCAGTTACCCCAGCACTGGAAGCGCTAGGTGTTGCTGCTTTGTTGCTGCTGGAGCCTCCGACGGAGAACTTCACGTTCGGGGTAGGGGGAAGCCAATCTTTGAATGCGTTACTGCTGCTACTGCTGCCTGCTGCTGGCGGTGTTGTGGTACTCTCCTTCTCAGAAGTATTTTCACTCAACGCGACCTTTTCCGGCAGTTGCTTCTGCCTCTTGAGGGCTCTGAACCGCTCTAGGCGGCTTGTCTTATCACTGCTGCTGTTCTTGCTGCCCCCTGCGGCAGCAGCTTCTTGCTTTCCATCAACAGTCTCGCTCACCTTTGGTGCAGCAGCAACTGCACCATTATCGTCCTTCAGGCTACTGCTGTTGCTCTGCGATGGTGAAAGGCTGCGTTTTACAGGCACCACCCCGTTTAAGGCCTCAGAAGAAGCAGATTCCCGTCTTCCCGCGTGCTTCTGTTGTTGCTGCTGCTGTGGCTGCTTAGGAGACAATTCGTCCTTAGGGCGTTCCCTGCGGGCTACTTCAGCATCCTCTTGGCGGTCAGCGGCAGGGGAGTCCCTGCGTCGCGAATCCTCTTTCTCGCTGCGCCGGCTGCTGCTGCTGCTGGAGCTGCTGCTGCTTCTGGAACTACTGCTGCTGCTGCTGCTCGTGGTGCTGCGCGGAGGGCTATGGCGCGTTTTGCTGCTGTCGGTTTTCCGGCCGTCGGTGCGGGAAGAAGGCCGACTTCTCTCCTCTTCCCGGTGCCTGTTGCTGCTGACGTCCTCACGATGTCTGCTGCTGCTGACGTCCTCACGATGTCTGCTGCTGCTGACGTCCTCACGATGTCTGCTGCTACTGACGTCCTCACGATGTCTGCTGCTGCTGAAGTCCTCACGATGCCTGCTGCTGCTTCTGCTGCGCTGCTTCGCACTACTGGGCGCCCGTCCTTCTGAATTTCTGTCTCTCGAGCGCGACCGGTTGCTGCTGCTGATTCGGCGGCTGTCTTCTCTTGTTTCCCTTGCCCTTTCCGAAACACGGGCACTGTTTTTCACTCCACTGCGGCCACTGGCACTACTACTACTACTACTGCTGCTGCTGCTACTGCTGCTGCTGCCGTCGCCGTCGCCCCATCCGCGCATGCGGCCAACTGGTTTTCGACTGGAGTGAGACCGGTCTCGAAGCTCTCTTCCCTCGTCCGACTCTCTACCTGTGCATCTGCTTCTGTCTGCATCTTTGGGGTGGCTGCTCCCACTGGAGCGGTGGCTGTCTCTGCTTTCTTTGCGGGGGGCTTCACTGTGTCCCGCCTCTCTGGCGTTTCTGTTTTCGGGGCTTCTGCTGCTGTGTCGGTGCCGCGTTGCGGACTGGCTGTGCCGGCTGGAGGCGCGGCTGACGTCAGAGGACGGCATTTTGTGCTGCCGCCGTCCTTGTGAAAGGACTGAGGGCCAAGGGTGTAAGGGGTACGCACAAACGGCACTTCCGGGTGTATGGACTCAGCAAGCCGGGACCCGCATGAAGGGGAACCTTCGGATCCACAAACTCTGCTCTATTCAAGAGCCAGCAACGCAGAGGACGCCCCCTCCTATCGCATGTTGTGTGCAGCGCGCGAGGATGCTGGCGGGTTGCAATAGAGAACGGGGCCCCCCAAGTCCCCCCTGTAGAGCCGCAGCCTCCGGGAGAGGCCCTGAAATAGGCAGGAAATAGGAGCCAGAAGGCAATGAAATCAGAAAGTCGGGAACTACGAAACGAACTGCCAGGGCGCCATGTTCCCTGTCTGTACTGTCCTAAGATGGTGGCTCTCTCCACTCCGGGCTATCGCCTTCTCTTCTTTCCAAACAAGTCCGAGTCCATTCTGCTCATGCTTAATCATTAAAACAAAGGAGATTAAGGGATCCAATGAGGACAATGGCTGCAGCGCGAGTGTACAAACTACACATGGCATGCAAGTTCGGGGCGCAGCGGCAGGCTTCGATGCAACATGCCTGCATAACAGCACCCACTAGTGGATATTTCAAACTCTACACTTCTTCTGTTGTATTTTTGTATTCTGAAGATAAAGATAACTGATCATGTGGTGCATTAAGCACGAGCTTCTGTTTCGTTTCGGCGCACGCAAGGCAGGGAGGGATTACCTGCGCTCAGCAGCTGTAAGCGAGTTACCATTGCTCTTGTCATAACTCTTCTAAAGTACATCTCTTAATTTAAACGATTTTCTGGTTTCGCAGCAGGGTATTCATAGTTTGCCTTCCCCTGCTTTGAGCATTACTAGCCTTCAGACCCCTTCTCTAGAACCCCGCCGGGAGCGAGAGTCCTCGATCTAAGCCGAGGGCCATCGTGAGCTGCAATACTCAGAATACTGCAAATAATAATTAACAAAGTGCAGCTTTAACTTCCCCCTCTCAGTCTCCAGGTGTCCTGGGCAAAGAGGCACAAGGCCTATATGTCGTATGGTGCGGAGAGGGGGGGCAGATGGTGGTTCTTCTGTCTGAGGCTCCGTTTTATTCTGTGTATGCCTAGTTGTACGCCGGTTGGTTACTTAGGATCAAGGTGGTGTACAACACTTGTTGACAAGGTTGGCGCATGCTGCAACTCGTGACGGAATCTGCTCCCTCTCTGTACCGTCGGCCTTGTGACTCTCTAGTCACGGTGCCTGGAGGCTGGCAAGGGAGGTTTAAGCTGCTTCTAAGGAATTACTTTCTGAAGTATTTTGACTCTATTGCAGTTCAGCACAAACCTCGGCTTAGGTCGAGGTGCAGCGCACCCTGTTGCAGCTGGTGCTGCAAGGCAACTCCGCAAAGCCGACACAAGCCCCTTTTGATGCATGCGTTAACACTGTAACCAGTTGCTCCACACTCACTTGGCCCTCAGTCTCTAGCGTCTGCGCAAGTAGAAATACACAAAATAATAACAACCACCTTTAGACAGACCAAGCTACAACGGCAACAGAAGAATATGCAGCGAAGTACAACTGCATCCGGGCGCCGAAAGAAGGGAGGCAAAAGCAGTACTTCACTCCTGCTCTGGTTCGCAGGGGTCCACAGTGCAAGCTACAGCATAGGGTCTAGCTCTTCAGGGTCTAAGGGTTCACCGTCTAGGGTTCGTGCTACTAAAACGCCGGCTATACATCTTACTAGGGAGCTGCGTCCACCCGCGGTTCGTTCACAATGGGGTGACGGAAGCACCCGTAGGCCCCTCTGGGCCAGAAGAAGGCTTCCTTATAACCCCCTCACTTAGTTCTTATTTGTATGCTAATATAAATATACTGTGCATTTATTTGTATTATGCGCCAAGACAACGAAAAGATATTCAAATTCCTCTTGTGTCATTATTATCATCGCGGACTGTACGGGATGCAGTGAGCACTTCACTATCTCCTACATACAATTGAGCTTTAAACTCTTACTGGAAGCAACTGCGGCTGTACAACTTCTATCAAGTCGTAAACCTTCCCTCTTCCTCGATGACGCTGTTGACTCCACAGGTTTGTGCAGCGTTTGGGTCATAACTATGTTTACGCGAAAGTCAAACTGCTTCAAGGCGGAGGCTTAAGTAAATGAAAGGCTGTCGAGGAGGCCAAGCAGAATGTTGAGTGGGGAGGCAACCTGGAGTGGGTTGTAACCCACGGACCCTAGACCCAATTATGCCTCGTTTTGCATCAAACTGCATCTACTGCAATTCTAAGCAGCTATGAAGTATGGAGTTTATCATTATGCATGCGGCTGGCGGGGCAAGGCGGGTTTCCGGCGCTGTTGTCGTCATTCGATTGCGCGCTGTGGCGCAGTGGAGATTTGCTGATATAAGCTGCTCTTGTCATCTTGAAATTGATAATAAGCCCAAATGCCAATTAAGGCCACAACAATCATCACCACTATCAGACTCGTTGAGGCGCCAGCCCTGGCCACAGTGGACGACTGTGAGCAGACAAGCAAGCACACACAAGACGGACACTAATACAATGCGGAGTGTATACAGGAACGTGAATAACAAAGAATGCAGAAAAACTTGGAAGATAGTAGAAGCGACGTCTGAGTCAGGGCACATTCGGAAACACATTCAGCTACGCGCGGTGAATGCATTCAACGATACACATGCGCACCGGCATCGCGCCGGATTCCTTTATATTTGCTGGGGTGCATTTGCGGAGATTCGTTTCTCCCTTGACTCTGCCGATGATATATTTATCAGCCATCATGCGAGCGTCCAAGGTGTGCCCAATGTCTTCAAAGGTTTCCGTTGCGTCTTTGCCTGCATGCAGCAGGGCAGCCGAGAACAAGTAGAGGAAATCACAGCATACGGCATATTTCATCCTTTAAAAGTAGACCATAGAAGAAAAATGGACACTCCACACATTGAGAGTGAGTGAACGGTATGCGCGTTCTATGCAGCGCAGCATCCATACATTGAAGCTACGGATGCGCAGCAACTGTCTGTACACACAAGACAACGCTTGTTGCCGTACCTGCAGCTTCGAGAATCACATGGTGACCTCCTGGGTGATATTTCATGAACTTAGTCAGGTCATAAACGAGGCCGTAGAACACACACCAGCAACTCTGTGCATCTTTGTGCTTTTGTATTTCCTCCCATGAAAACTCAGGCAGCTTCAGAAGCTCCTCCATGGTGAATTACAACGTCCTGAAAGCGACGGAGAGTTATGGTTTCTACTGCAAGCTGCTGCGGCACCCTTGGCCCCTTGCCTCTCACAAGTCTACGACGCGGAATGAAGAGGGAAACAGCCAGCAGAAGCAACGGCACGGCTGTTCGAGCCTTGATGGATAAACTTCTTTAAATATATGTATTTATCTGACGCGGTGAGACACAAGAGGAGATCCCAAGGTCGACAGAGTTTCTCGGTGCCGAAGGTTCGGCGCAGGCAACAACCCGTCTGGGCCCGACGCAGAAGAAACCTCCTGAAAAAAACGACAACGGACCCGGAAGCAAAAGAATCCCAGAAATGGGGACTACACCAAACAAGCAAAGAACAACAATTTCGGTACAAGAGAGGAAACCGAGTGATGAGGCGTCTCCAGCAGAGTAGCCGCAGCCCTTCTTGCACCCCTCCTACTCTGTTGTTGCTCTTCAGAGCATCGCTCGGCCTACAGTCCATTTCCAGAATTTAAGACGAAGAATCTCTGCATGATACACATTTATCAGAAGACTTTTTGTCTTCTGTGGGGTTATACCCACGGAAACGTGCATCGTTCCAACGCTTTCTGCTGACGCCTCCTTCTGCTTCGGCGGCGACCCCCCGCTTAACCCTTCTTCTGACTATACACTGCTGTCTAAGACGCATGCATTACACATAACACTCCCTTAAATTCCTATTAATATCTCTATCTACTCAATTACCCCCGTTTTCCTGCAGCCTGAGGCTCACCAGCCAGCCAGCCCCTCTGCATGTAGCCGCCCCCATGCCGCCGACTGTCTTTGCTGATTGAATCTGTCCAAGGGCGTTGTAGGTTTGAAGCTTTGGTAGACCTCTTCAAACCGACACCGCAGCCAGCCCAAAACTACGCGCACTCCCCATTCCGTCTGGCGAACGCAACAGCAACATAACCCAACGTCTTCATCAGCTTTAGGCCCTTAAGAGGCTCGACTGCTGCTTGTGTGCTGCTGCGGCAGCAACTGGCTGCCAAGGAAATAACTGCAAAGAGAGGAGACCGCTACAATGGTCTCGCAGCAGCGAAAGCGAAAAACAGGAACGACGGGGTCGGCGCGAGATGGTGGGGGTGTAGGCGAGGCCTCGGACCCCCGACGACAGCCGCAGTTGCAGCAGCAAACAACAGCTTCTGATGTTGTCTCAGGGGCTGATGAACCTCTAACCCCGCAAAAGACAGGAAGCCTTGGCAAAGGCGCGCGAAATGAGAAGGCGCAGAAAACACGAAGTGTCTTTTCCAAGACCGCAGCTGCCAATCTCACCGACGATGAAGACGAACAAACTTGGTGAGCAGCAGCAGCGCCTGTGGATCATTCATCGTCATTAGTACCTTCTCGCGGCCAATTGCAGGATGCGGCGTTCCCTCTCCCCTCATACCTAGTAGACGTTTTATGAGGGCGGGAATCAGAGCTCGCAGCTGTTGCACGCACATGGATGCACATACATGCACATGGATGCATGCATCTTACCTTCTGCCTTTCCAAGAAGCAAACTTTGGGCTTCCCCTCATGTGTGATGCTTACTTCCGAGGTCGTTCTGCGTTCTGGCTGTCGTTTGGCGCATCCGCTTGGGTTGCTGCAGGTCTGGGTCTGGTGGCCCAGTGCTGAATGCAGCAGCCGATCAGGAGAGAATAAGGAAGGAAAAGGAGAGGAGGAAGGCAAAGAGAGAGCAACACGTGCGGCTTTTGACTTCACTGCCTGATTCTTCACCTCTTTTATAGATATAACCCGTCTTATCTGCCACAATTCACAGCACGCTCGTAGGAGAACACATCGGAGGTGCCTACGCAGACAAATAGGGAGGCCCCCCAGAGGTGCCCACAAGAATTCATCCAAGGGATTTGGGTTCTGCCGTTGATGCCTCTACTGCTGCTGTCGTGGCTGCTGCTGCAGGATCGCAACAGGAGCAACAGGGAGGGGCAAAGCAAGCAGAAAAAGGCGTCAAAGGGGTCCTCCTTTTCAGGGGTGTTGCAGTTCTTTTCAGGCGGAGACTTCCGTTCTTGGCTGATGTCTTTTCTAGTTCTAGTTTGTATCGTAGGTAGGCCTGGGGTGTGTTGTTATCAATTCATTTGTAGCTATATCTCCTCCCTCCCTGTTGTTTGCTGAGTACGACGGTGTGCCTCAGATTCCTTATGAGTTAAATTTCGCTTGGCGAGAGCTCCTGTTCTCTTTTCTCTGTCTTCGCTGCGGGTTCTCTGCTTGCGTGCTCGCATGCGTGCGATATTCGTGGCGTTCTTCTTGCTGCTGCTGCTGTTGATCAGGCATCTTTGTTCTGAAGGCGCTGGAGGAGTACTACGGCATGGATGCCGATGTTAGTGGGGAGCAACGGCTTCAGCACTTGAGTGTGTTGGGTCTGGACGACGGGGCGTCTGAGAGTGACATAAGAAGGTCCTACAGGACTTTATCTGTTCGTTGGTGCGTTTCCCTCTCCCTCCCTGCGCCATATCCACCTCAAACAATGAAACGCATGTGTAGTCGAAGTACAAGAAGAGGAAAAGAACTAATTTGGCGCTTCAAGCAATGGTGCTTTGCTGCAAACGAATTGCAGGCATCCCGATCGTTACCCGAACTGCGGCGCGAGCTGCCAGCAGCGTTTCCACGAAATTGCGGCGGCTTATGAATATCTGATGAGGAAACAGCGGAAGGCAGCAGTAGATGATGAAGAAGGAGAGGGAGGTGAAAACACACAAGGTGACGAATTTGCCAACTTAAAGGTCACGTCACAGGGTATTGTCGATTTCTCCAGTTTAGGGCCAAACGATGTCTTTCCACCCACTGCAGATACTAAGAACGTCTGGTCCATCATGGTAAGTCGCAACACTAGTACACATATGTTTGTATATATATATATATATATATATACCTGCATTTGGATGCACACACATGTCAATGCCCACCTACAGCCAGATCGAAACACCTAGGTTGGTTGTGCTTGTGGTGATTCTGACAGTATTCCTCAGTGAATCTTTACATGCGAAAGGAGTCTTCAACATCTTTCTGTACGCTGTTGCAGCTTAAGAGCAGTGCCTAATGGCTCCTTGAACCAAGGAGAACTGCAGCCTTCTGATCCTGTGGTTGGCTGTCGTGCGTGTGGGTATTCAGGTTCATCAGGACAAAGATGATTGGAGCCAGTCGGTGTACGAGATGTGGCAAGAGTCCTGTGGGTGCAAAAGCTGCTTTCCCTGTTCTGTTTGTATTGGCTTAACCAGTGCTTAAAGGATTCCTACCTGATGCAGGGTTGGGTGTCGGTGGGTGGCCGTTTTTTCTCTTGTTCGGCTGCTGAGGGTGTAGAGTGGCGAAAGCGAAATTGGTTTGGGGTTTTTGGAGGGACGTTTGTGCGCCTCAGCACGAGCGTTGGGGAAGTACGTAAAGTTTGGCGTTATTTCGATCCGCGGGAGAAGTGGGAAAGACGCTCTGAAGAAGCTGCCAATAAATGTGAAGTGCGTCGTACATCTCTACCTTTTCCAGGGTATTTCGTGCCTGTCTTGTGTAACGTAGATTGCGGCAGTACATGCTAAACAGTGAACAGCTACACACCCGTCAAGGCAACACCTAGGAGAAACGCTGGACGCCAATTACCGCCTGTGTTCTTTTCTCTTATCTGTTTTTATATTTTCAGGATCTTCCCGGCCATTCTGCTGCTGACTGCTGGCATGCACCCGGAGGTACGCGGCGTGGTTTGATCCCCGGCGTGCTGCACCGTTTGATGCATTTCCAGGCGAAGGTGGCTAAGAAAAGGCGCATCGTGGGGCATACAAGGAAATCTAGGCACAACGTGTTGTATTTTGCATGCGTTGTAATCTGCAGCAATACCCAAATATCTCGAGGCCTTCAGTGGAATCTCTCAACCGGTTCATCGCCGACGCATTCCCCACCACCCTCGATGTCGTCGAGAGCGGTAAGCAAACAATACGCCCATAGGCAGCAATCTCAATATCCAGTTTACCGCTGACGCATCATTTTAGAAACCAAAATTGCTGTAGGTTAATATCTTTCTGCCAATAAGAGACAGCAGCTGACTTGGGGTTAGACGATCTACGCCTACACAGATTTCTGCCGGCTGTAGTTGAGTGCTTCTAGCCCTGCAGAACTGTTCGCTTATAGTTCACGCAAACAAACACAGCAAGATCTGAGGCAGTCGCCGGGGGTCTCACTTGTTGATTGTTTGCTGAGACGTCAGCTCCATTGCATGTCCTGCAATCTGCTCCTTTTGTTTCAGCTCGAGAGCTGAAGTCATGGCTGGCGTCTTCATCTTTCTCGCAGTCTCTGGCTGCGCAGTACAAAGCAGTGATTGTTCCTTCTGCAGCTTCTGCCAGCAAGCCTTCCCTGTTAGTGAAGCACGCGGCCTTTTCTAACAAGCACTTGTTTAACTTCTGTTTCGTTGCAAATACGCGAACACTGCTGACGAACGAAAAGGAGGAGTTGATTGCCGTTCTGAAGAATCCCCCTACGTGGGTGCACCAATTGCCTGCTGACAGCGCAGCAGCGAAGGCGCTGAGGCTGCCGGTGCACTCAGAGGAGCTCCGCGCGGGCGACTTGGTCTCGAATTCAAACGTATTGCTCTTCGTAGATGAAGGCAGAGGCGTCTCACGCATGCAATCCACGCTGCAAACCGCTCGCTCGAAACTCCTCAACCCTTCGACTGCACTTTCGCTTGCACTTGATCGGTTCAAGGCGGTACGTATGTGGGGGGCGAAACAGATAATATAGATCTTGCTACTTTCTCATCTGCACTTGTGCATCATTCTGGTGTCTGTACTGAGTTTCGAGGGGAGTAACAGACAAACTCAGGACAGCAACAGTGGATATGTGGCTTGCCTTTGTCCCGCGTCATGGGGCTCTTGTTTTGTGCTGCAGAGCGTTGAACCCTTTCTCTATCAGCAAAACAGCGCGTCTTTGTGCAAGGGGTCGCTGCAAAGACGGGTGTACTGCCTTGTTGCTGTCGAACCAGAAGAAGGAGCGAACGATGGGCAGCCCGCGCAAGCGCCCAAGACGGTCGACTTGGCTCGGATTAGGCAGCTGTTGCAGCTTTCAAGGCAAAAGTATCTTGCGGGTTCGTTTGCTTGATAATGAAATACATTTTTGTATTTCTTGTGTCCCTTGTCAGGCATAATTGCGCCAATGTGCGGCTATTAAGGCCACAAGGGGAGCGGTTCAGTAATAGGCGACACCCTCTCAAGCCTTCAGCCGCCCGGAACAGCATCGATGTGCGTGTTATGTGTGTCTTGTAATGTATTTGTTTTTTTACCTCGTTCTTGCGGATACGCGGTGACGCAGAGAATCCCCAGAAGAACTTAGAAGCCGTCTGGGAGCGGGCAGTGCAGAAGGCGAGAGAGTATGAAAAGTCCAGTCCTCATAAAGGAGAAGGCGACGGAGGAGAGTCCAGTATTTCCACAAAAGAGCCCGACGATCTGCACATTGAGCAACCAGATGACATAGAAGAGGAGATAATCCACGTGCAAATCGTGAGTGTTTTTTACCATTATCTTCCAACCACTTCGAAGCTTAGCCCTGACAAACAAACAAACAAACAGGCCGATCGTCGCAGATAGACATGAAACAAGGACAGGCACGAATTCCCTCTTTCTGCTTCAGGTACGAGTATCTGTAGGGCGACCCGCTGCAGTGCCATCTCTTCCGGGATTGCCCAAGGACACACAGTTCAAGCGCTTGATGAATGAAGAGTTAGAAAATGCGCCGATCTTCTTGCTCGACTTAGAAGGGTCTCGCGTAGCCCCTGTGCCTGCTTTGTATGCGGGGGAGCCGAGCGTCTCTGACGAGGGTGCGGAAGCTCTTTATTCTCGTCTGTATCAGATATTGGATGAGCTGCAGAACGCTGCAGATGAAGAAGAAGATGCAAAGATTGCATTCTCCGAGCTACCAGACTATTGCGCAGGGCAAGAGTTCGCAAAGAGGTGTTTAGCGAGTGCGCAACGCCCGTGGTGGACCTACTTGCAGGCTGGGGGCGTGTGGATTCAGGTAAACACAGAACTGAGAAAGCGCCTAGGTTGTGTCTTGCAGCGTATGTAAGGATGCTGCAGACAGTGTGTAGCAGTAGCAGCTGCTGACTGTGCTTCTTAGCAGAAAGTAAAAGACAGTGCATGGCCTACTCTCGACGCTTTCTTAAGTGCTCTATATTTATCGATGGGTGCTGGTGCTGACGCTCCCTTATTGTGTATTTTGATGTGGTGCTGATTTCGTCAGCTCGGATTGTTGGCGGCCTTTGGAGGGTTTGTTTTCTTCGCCTGGAACAAAATAACCCCGGAGGTAATTCCCGGAAGTGCATCTCACTCATTATACACAACCAATGAACTTGAACGAATGCATAGCTTCCTAAGTTTGGGTATGTTTTTATATATGTGCGTATGCATTTGTTCGGCGTTTTCGCCATCGTGTGCATTTAGATGAATTCTTTTGGTAGTTGCTTTGCCTGCTGGTTTGAAGTTAATTTGTGATGTATTATCGTTCTGTGAGCTCAGAAGTTCCTCTGCGGCATGCTTCTCTTTTCCCTTGCAATTGGCGCCTGGTCATCCATTCAGCCAATCCTGTCTTCGATATTTGGCGGCAAGTAAAACGCATTTTCAGGAGCAGGGGTTGGAGCCGCAGGCGTCAGCGGCTTGCTTTTGTGGCTGCTGCTGTTGCTGCTGCTGCTGCTGCAACAGCAGCAGCCACAGTCTGCTGTGGCTGCAGCAGCCACAGCAGACTGGATTGTTTCAATATATATGCATCAACTAACGCATGCAGTTGCTCTCGTTTTTTTGGACAGTGATGGTGGATTGCAAGGAACACTCTGGCTTTCAGCATGCGAACTGTTACCTTCTATGCGATTCTGCACTTCCACCTTCGCCGCCTGGCGCGGATTCGTTTTTCAGTTGATGGAGCCAGTAAGAATACTTTGTACCGGAGTATTATTCACAATTCGTTTAGGATCACAACCACTGAATTAGGCGGCCGCCTAGGCAGGGCGTAAAGAAGGCGAAGGCGTGAAAACCTTTTTAATAACGTGGCAAACAATGGCCTTGCACCGTCAACTGTTCAAACATATTTCGTCGCTAGATCTATAAGCAAAGAGGCACTCAGAAGCGCGGTCATTTCCTATTATGGCTACTCTTAGCCATATCAGGGCGTTTACTCCAGCGGACAAACGCACATCAGGGGGGAGCGTTTGGGGCCCCCAGTCCCGCCTGTCTGCTCAGCTCCGCACTCAGATAAACCCTTATTGCGTGTTCAAAGCATCAAATGAAATGGTCACAAAGCGAATGTACAAATAGAGTAACTGAAAAGCCAAAGACCATACTGTAGAGACAATTAGGGATGAATGCAGAATTGGGTTTCGGGTTCTCGGAAGTCTTCCGACGCAAGCGATGATCCGTAAGGAGCCGATTATACACTTAAATTACAGAAGCAAAGCACAAGAACACTTTCAGAATAACTGCGCAAACAAGAAGAACACTGACATCGAGGTGCAGGATTGCAGTTTTGCCTTCCAAGGAAGCTCAGATGAAGCGGTTCTGGAAGATTGTTTGCTGCACCTTATGATGAACTTGAGAAAGAAAGTAATTAGAAGTATGTTTTAATAATTAAGAAAGTAACAGCGTATCGAAGGGAATTCAGCGTGGATATCCACCAAGTCGAACCAAAGAAGAATGCCAACAGTGAACATGAGTAATGGTGCGACAGACTCAACATTTAAATTACTAATCCACATAGAATCTTTTACTAAACAAGTCTAAAGGGATTTAAAAATAATAATTACGCAGGGTTAGGGATATTGAATACATGCATATCCTGCAGAGTAGCAACGGACCCTGCAGCCAGGTTTCCCGTTTTCCACTGGACCTTATTTTGCAATTCAGAATTCTTTTCAAATTATTTTTTGCATTATATACGTGCAAATTTCTGCTTAACTGTACTTTTAAGGAGGGGGAGTAGAAAAATGCATCGGCGTTTGCATCTAGAAATACGAGTTTCAGCCAAGTTTGTAATGGGCGGCGTGAAGACTGCCACCGTATGACCTGGGGAAAAGGCGGCATAGTGGGCCTCAATCCTTTGAATAACAGCGTTTCAAAACAATTTCAAATAATAAACAAAGGGAAAATAACACAAAAAATCATTATTAATTTAACACTGCGCCTTTTTCTCTCCTGGCGGTCCGCGAGCCTAAGGGACCGGTGGCCTTGTGGGAGGGAGGCTGCTGCACGTTTGCTACACCTACAAGAAGGTCATTAGAGCCCGAAATACTCCTCAAGCGACAACAGACATTTTGCATAAATAATTAAAACGATTTTCCTCAGTGTTAGTAAGCATTTGGCCAACAGAAACCAACAGCAGCTCCAGAGAAAATACGCAGCGACGCCGCCCTGGATTGGGAACGGACTGCTGCTGCCTCCCGCGCGTCGCGCCGCTGCAGTTTCGCTCTTTAAATGTGTTTTTTTCTGAATTTTCATGTGTACTAACAAGCCACAAATATAATTCCTTTTAGAATTTGCAATATTTTAGCTACCCAAAACATTCCACCCCAGATCCAAGCCGTTTTCTTCTCTGGCGTTTCGGCAGTGGTTGGTTGCGAATCGCAGGCTTGTGAGGGCATCTTATTAAGGCCCTACTTTGATTCTTTTTTTGAATATTATTTGTTATTTGTTTAAATCAAAACCAACCCATCATAAAAGAGGTATTTTCACCCGCAACAGACCATCATCTGCTACGACAATAATACAGTGGCCTACTCCCCCGAGTTCCTAACACAGCAGAAGCTACAGCAGCAGCAGCAGCAACAGCAGCAGCAGCAAAGGCAGCAGCAGAAGTATAAGGAAACAAGGAATGAGAGCCGGGAGCTGTTGGACAACGCTCTCTTCTGCATGATCTTCCTCTCCGCATCCCCCGCATTAGTATAAGTCCACTGGAGCACCGTCACTGCTCCGTTTTCTTATTCTAGCTCTTGTACAGACACTCTCTCCCCTTCTATTTCTGCTGTCTGTACACTGAAAAGAGCGCACCTCGAAATGCAGAAGGGCGAAGGAGAAGCAGCAAAAAGAGACAAAGAGGGGCTCAGGCCTCCTCCTGTCTCCGCTCTAGCGGGGGGTGCAGGGTGTCCCTCTAGCCCCCCCCAGACTCTCCCCTCTTCTTCTTCTTCTTCTTCTTCTTCTTCTCCTTCTTCTTCTTCTTCTTCTCCGTTTATTCAATCAAATGGCATTCCTGCCGCCTCCTCTGTCCCTGATGAGGCTCGGAGAGAAAGTAAAAACAGACAACGCAGTAAGGCGGACGCTGTAGATTCGTTTGGGTTTCTTTCTCTCTCCTTTGTCCGTCTTTTTGTCTTCTCTTCTGTTCCCCCTGTCTGTCTAGTTTGTCTCTTTGTCTCCCGTGGCTCTTCTCTGTTTTTTTTCTGTCTCCTTTATCCCTATTCCTCTGTCTCCTATCTGCACGCTACCTTCTTCTCAACTCACAGCAGAAACAAAGAGCGCAGTGTGTCTTCATTTTTTGTATTTGTTTGCTGCAGATGCAAGTGCCTCTACTTTGTCCAAGACGCAGTCCAGGGGCCCCTCAGCTAACAGAGGCGTCTCCTTCGGGGCCCCCTTAGGGCCCCCCCAGACACAGGGGCCCCTGGGGGCCCCCCAGACGCAGGGGCCCCTGGAGGCCCCGCAGCGACAAGGGCAGCCGGAGGCCCTTCAGAAAGAGGGGACTCTGAGGGCCCCCCAGAGACGGAGGCCCCCGGGGGCCCCAAAGAGAGAAGGGCCCCTGGGGGCCCCAATCGATGCAGCAGACAGTCGGATGGTTTCAAAAAGGGCTTTAGGGGCTTCAGTTAATGGAGTGTCTCCTCCTGCTGCTGCTGCACCAGCAGATGTTCGTGGAGCTGCTGCAGCAGAGAGGGAGACACACCCGTACACCCGTGTGTCTCTGGCTACGGAGCCCCTCCAGAGAGTATACAGACAGTGCACAGGGTCTCTTGGGCGGCGGCTAGCAGCTGCGGGGCTGAAGGAGAGCGGGACCCTTAGTGCTGCAGAGAAGAGAGTGGAGAAGGGGTCCCTAGGGAGATCGCAGCAGCAGGTGTTGCAGCCGCTGCAGCACAAACTGCAGACAGCGGGGCGCCGCACACGCGCACTGCTGCTGTCGCGGCGGCAGCAGCTGCTGCTGCGGGAGCGAGCTAAGAGCCTTCGGGTGTACGTACACCGCGGGGTTGGGGAGGTTCCTAGGGCCCTAAAGGCCTCTCTCGCTTCTTTGCATGCAACGAGAAGCAACGAGAGGGAGAGGAGACATACACTCCAGTACGGGCAGAGACACAGCAGTCTCCTTGATGCACAGAAGAGACAGCAGACCGCAACGGAGACAAATCAAGAAAACAGCTTACCTCTTGTCCCTTTGAGTCCCCCTGTTGTGCGGCAGCAGCGCGGTGTTGCTGCTGCTGCAGCAACAGCTCCTGTTGCTGGTGCTGCTGCTGCCCCTGCCCCAGAAGGCTTCAGCCTCAGCAAGAGACAAACTACATGCATAGACGGGGCCCCCACACCTCTCCGTGGGATGTCTAGACAGCTGAGCTCCAGCCAAGACAGGAGACAGTGCAGGCGCAAAGACCGGCAAGTGTCTCCTCTCTTTCAGCCTCTCCTCTGCCACGCAGCAGCGAAGGAGCAGAGCCCTTCAGGAGACCCAGCGACAGCAGCAGCAGCCGAAGCAGTAGCAGCGGAAGCAGCTGCAGCAGAACCAGAAACGATACCAGCAGGAGCAGCAACAGCAGAAGCTACAGAGTCTATTTCCCCTCCTCTTGAAGGCCCCCAGGACTCTCTACCCCAAAGTGCTGCAGAGCTGGAGGCCGCCGACGGAGCTGCCTATACACCTGAACTGCAGCCGGGAGTCTCCCGCAATGAATTTCATCAAGTGCTGAAGACGTGGCAGTCCAAAGAGCTGCTGGCAGCAGCACAAAAGAAAAAATCTCAGGCAGACCCACCCCCATCACAACTCCTCAACCAAGCCCTAGCGGAAGCAGCAGCAACTCGTACCCTCGAAGGCAGCAGCAGCAGCACGCAGCAAGAAGAGACAGAGCAGCACCATGACGCGCCTGAACAAACAGACGGACAGCAGCATCAACCCAATGCAGCAGCAGCAGCACCAACAGCAGCAACCGATCATGCAGCAGCAGCAGCAACTCCGTCCACTCCACAAGCAGCAAACACGCAGCAGTCAACAGCAGCAGCTGCAGCAGAAACAGAGGTGGAAACAGCTGCAGCAGCTGATCCTGCAGCATCAAGAGCAGCAGAGGCCCCCGCAGCAGCAGCAACAGCAGAGCCAGCAGCAGATGGGAGTGCCGCAGGGCATTGCGTGGCTGGTGCAGCTGAGGGGCCCCATCTCAGTCAGACAGAGACAGAAGAGGAGACAGGAGACAGTGCAGAGGTAGAAGAAGGAGACAGCAGAGAAGAGACAAAACAGGGAAGGGGACAGACAGAGGCTCTCGCGCTGCTGCAGCAAGCAGCAGCAACGAAAGACAACAGCAACCTGTCTCCAGAAGAAAACGCAGCAGCAAAGGAGACAGCTGCAACAGACCCAAGCTTAGGCCTCCACGAGAAAGAGGAGATCACTGCATGCGCGGAGGAGCAGCAAGAAAAGAGACAGCAGACAACCTCAACAAGATGCACAGCGCAGCTTTACCGAGAGCCAGGCAAAGCAAGCTGCCTATACACCCTAATCGATGCCCTCCCCACTAAGTGGGAGGCCTTTACTTTGTTTTTAGGGGCTTTATTCACTTATGTTTTAGTCTTCTTGTGCACAAGAGGAGTGCCGCACGCACTGCTGCTGCTGTTTTGCTGCTTCTTCGGTCTCCGTATCCGCTTCGGGGGCAGCAGCAGCAGCAGCGGGGGCAGCTACACAGCCTTGTGGCTGCTGCTGCTGCAGTTGCTTGTCCTCGTGAGCCTCTGCTGCGTGAGCATCGCCAAACAAGCAGCAAACGAGCAGCAGCTGCTGCTGCAGCTAGAAGAAAGCCGACTCTATACAGCAGACATACGCATCAGTAAGGCGCCCCTTAGCAGCAGCAGCGGCAACAGTACCAGCAGCAGCAACAGCGGCAGATTGATTGCTGGGTAGCAACGTACGTAAAGGTTTTTATTAAAAGTATTAACACTGTCTGTCCCGCATGCACTGTATAGACACACCGAAATAAGGCGTATAGGAGCAGCTCTTCTTGTGTATTATATGTTGCTGCTTGCTGCTGCTGCTGCTGCGTGTGTGTGTGTGTTGTGTGCAGCGGCGATGCTGTTGTTTGTGTCTTTGTTGTTTTTGCTGTTCCTGGTTGGCTTTATTGCATTGGGGTATTTGCGTTTCCCTAGTTTCTACAGTTTTGTCTTCCAGCGCATTGAGGTTTGTCTTTTATGCTGCGCGGAGATCCGGAGCTTTAACTCAGGGGTTCAGTTTGCTGCTGCTGCATGCATGCTCTGTCTCTGCTGCAGCAGCAGCAGAGCAGTGCTGTTGCTGCTGCTAACGCTGCTGGGGGTGGGGGGCCGTCTGCTAGCTTTAGGTCTTTTGACTCCACGGAAGCAGCAAACTTGCAGCGATAATATACAAGAGACAATTACAAAAGACAGCATTCAAACATCAAAGAAACAACGCATGCATTTCTTTGCAGGAGCCGCTTTGCAGCTGGTGGCTCTTGTGGGTATTTTTGCTATTATCTTCTCCATGCCGAAAATCAAAGGGGTAGATGGAGAGGAGCGGCAGCAGCAGCAGCAGCAGCGAACAAAGAATGCGGTGTTGGGGGTTTGTTTTCTGGCTTCTTTGCTGGATCTTCTGCTTCTATGCGCACAAATTGCTGCATTTCAGCTCAAAGACAAATTCACTGACAGACGCCTCAAAGCAGCAATCTCTCTTGCAGGTGGTTATCTAGGAGATGGCTCCAGTATTCTGTGTCTCGTGGGGCGCCCACATATCAATTATGATATAGAGACAGCCCAATGGACAAGCACGTGAGTCTTTACCTCCATCTCTGCATCATAACATATATGTGTATCTGTACATGCAGCTTTTTTTTGTGTTTCTTCCGTGTTTTGTTGTACGCATGCTGTCTCGATCTCTCCGCAATAAACTATTAAACGCGGGTTTTATCTCTTCGTTTATCTTGAATAATAATGCCTATAAATGCTGAAGGTTTATTTGAGGGTTATTTCAATAAAAGAAGAAGATGTGGTATATGCAGCTGTTTCCCTTGTTGCATAGTAGGTGTGCGCGTGTGCAAATATATTTCTTTTTCTTTAGTTTACCTTTATAGGGGTGAATTGCATTGTTTTTCCTCTTATTTATTGGTTTAAATGCATTTTTGGAGTATTTTTTTTGTGTTTTTCACCCAATTTTTTCAAAGATCTGCGCAGCGAGCCCGAACGACAGGCGGCAGAGCCGATGAGGTCACGGGGCCGCTGTTGCTGCTGCTGCTGTTGCTGCGCTGCTGCTGCTAAATGTTGTATTATTTGTATTTATATCTTCAATTGTTTACTGAATTTAATTTAGTGTAAATATTCAACAATTTTTATACAGAAGTGCCGCTGAGGAGGATCTGCTGGTGGGTGTTGCTGCTACTGATGTAGCTGCAGTAGGGCCTATGCCTCTTTGCAGAGAATAGACGGTTTGTGCTCGTATTTGTGCTGGTTTATTTGCATTTTTCATTTTAATTACATATTCTAATCTAATATGGTTTATTTTTGCCTTTAATTCGCCCTAATATAACCCCCTTAAGACCAGGAGAACCGCTCGCCTCGTAGATGGCTTAGTCAGTCAGGTGACCCTAACAGCTCTATCTTCGTCTTCTTACTGTTTATGTGTACATACACCCCAAATTATTTTGTATATTTCTTCTTCTCTATGTTTTATAGAGAAGGAGAAAGTTGCGGATGGGCCTTCTCGCCCTGTTCTTGTCTCTTGGTCTGCTTGCTACATCTCTGTTTTATCGTTTATATGCTCCTGCCGCTGCTGCAGCAACAACTGCTGCTGCTGCTGCTGCTGCAATAACAATTGATGCTGCTGTTGTTGTTGCTGCTGCTGCAGGTACTCTTACTCCCTCGCTGTGCAGCAACGTGCATCTTCGGTCTTCTGGCAGCTGCAGCTCTGTTCACTGAAGACGCCTCTACCTAAGGCCTTCCGCGAGCAGCAGCAGCAGCAGCAGTTGCTGCAGCAACAACAACAGCAGCCGAAGTTGCATCAGCAGCAGCCCCATCTACTTGCATCTCTCTCCCTAGCTCCCATTGGTGTCTCTTCCTCTCCCGCAGCTGCAGCCCTACCAGCAGCACCCCCCTCACCTCCTACTGCTGCTGCTTCTACTGCTGCTGCTGCTGCTGCTGATAAAAGGCGCTTCGGCGAGGCTTCAGCAGTCTTACTTTCTCTTCAATCTAAAGCATTTGCTCGAGAGGCAGGAAGGGCCTTAGAAACCGCCGGGCTTCAGCGGCTGCAGACTTTGGCACGTGACCCGTAAATCACAACAAAAGAACCGTCTTCTTCTTTATTATCTTTTTATTATTTTTATTTTCTAATTCTTTTTATTATTATCTTTTTTTTCTAATTCTTCTTATTATATTTTTATTATTATCTTTTATTATTATCCCTTTATTATTAGTTTTTCATCTATTCTTGTTGTCTTTTTCGTTGCTATTCTCTTCTTTTTTTATTATCTTTTTATTATTATTATTCTTTTTATTTCCTTTTTTATTTTCTTTCTATCTTTTTATTATCTTTTTATTCTTTTTATTGTTATTACTATTTTTACTGTTATCTTTTTATTGCTGTTATTATTCTTTTATTTTTGCTATCCTTTTTATTGTTACTCTCTTTTTCTTGCTATTCTTTTCGTTGTTATTATTCTTTTTTATTTTTTACTGTTATTTTTATTATTTTTAAAAATTTTTCACTGTTGTTGCCTTCGCTTTCTTCTTTTTGTTTATAACACTTTAACGCAACTCTCTCTTCTTCTCTCTGTGTCTTTATTTTGTTTCTTTCTTTGTCTCGTCTCTTTTTGCTTGTGTTCATTTATTCTCATATTATTATTTCTATTATTATCTTTCTTGGGGATTGATGTTTATTCTTTTTCTTCTTTCTAGTTGTTTATCTTTTTTATTTTATGTATATTCTTCGTCTGTTCTCCTTCTATTGTTTTCTTTTTACCCTTTTCCCTATTTATTTTTATTCTTTTTCTTTATCTTCTCTTGCATGCGTTGCTTGCTGTTCTTTATTATATATTTTTTTAGTTTATGCTTCCCGTTCTTTCTTAATTTTTCTTGTTGCATTTCTGTTATTTGCTTCTTTCGATTTGCACTCTTTTAGCCTGTCTTCTTTTTTCTTTTTATTCTTTGAAATGCGTCTTTGTACGCCACGGGCCTTCTCACCATCATCTCCTCTAGGGTTTAGGGTTTAGGGTTTAGGGTTTTGGGGTGTATGCGCAGGTGCTGGCTACGCTAAGATCGACAGATGCCGCCACTGCTCAGCCTCCGCCCGTCGTTGTGCTGCAGCAGCAAAACGAACTCCGAGCTGCTGCATGCAGCGGTGTAAGGCGCAGCAGCAGTAGCAGCAGCAGCAGCAGCTCGTCATCCTCAGTCTCTTTAATCGCCAGCATCTCTCCACCTGTTAACAAGGGGGAAGCAGCAGCAAGCAGCAGCCCACAAGCAGCAGCAGCAGCAGCAAACGCAGCAGCAACAAGGCAGTCGCTTGTGATGCAAAAGCAGACGTCATTTGGGGGCAACAGCCTCCAAGCCGCTGGGGCCTCAGCAGCAAACCCTCTGCAGCAGCAGCAGAGCAGCAGCAACCGCAGCAACAGCCACCCCAGCAGCAAACGCAGCAGCAGCAGACGCAACACCAAGCGCAGCAGCAGCAACCGCAGCAACTGCACAGTCAAAGCCGCTCAGCGTCGCCGCCGCAGCAGCAAAGGAGTAGCAGCAGCAATACCAGCAGCCGACAGCAATTTGCAGCAAACAGAGCTGATGGTAGAAGAGCAGAAGCGTGAGGCTGCTGTTTCCGCTGCGCTGCAGCGGCGCGAAGCCCCTGAAGCAGCAGCAGCTGCAGCAGCAGCAGCAGCAGCAGCAGCAGCTCCAAAAGTGTCCACGAATCCCTTCGATGAAGAGGTGGAGGACGCCACCTTTTCTCCTCTTCCTGCTGCATTGCAGGACACTGAAGCAGCAGCAGCAGCAACAACAACAGCTGCAGCAGATGCAGCTGCTGCGGAGTCAGAAGCGGCGCTGCTTCGCTCTCTGTGCGACCTGCTGGATCGGCTGCAGCGGGAGCAGCCGCTGCTGCTGGCAGCAGAAGCACCATTGTTAAGCAAGCGACTGCAGCAGGAACCGAACGAGCAAGTGCTGCGAGGGCTGCTGCAGCAGAAGCAACTAAGTAGAAGCAAAGAGGAGCTGCTGTCGCTACACCGCAGATGCGCAGAAGCAGCCGATGACTCCTCTCCCAGATCAATGTTTGCTGCTTCCCTCAGCTTTTTAAGGGGAGCAGAAAAACAGCAGCAGCAACAGCAGCAGCAGCAGCAGCAGCAGCAAGAGCAGCAGTCGCAAGGCGTCCAACTGCCGCAGCAAAAAGACGAACAGCAGCAGCAAGACAAACAGTCAGTAGAAAACGAATGGCAGGCTCACCCTCAGAACGAGCAGCAGCAACCGCTGCAGCAGCAACCGCCACAGCAGCAGCTGCAGCAGCAGCAGCTGCAACAGCAGGAAGAGCAGCAGAAACAGCAACTGCAACAGGAAGAGCAGCAGCAAAATCAACTGAAGGAAGAGCAGCTGCAGCAGGAAGAGCAGAAACAGCTGCAGCAGAAGCATGAGCAAGAACAGCTGCAAATCCAGAAGGAAGAGCAGCAGAAGCAGCAAGCGGAAGAGCAGCATAAGCTGCAGCAAGAAGAGCAGCAGCAGCCGCAGCAGGAAGAGCCACAGGAACTGCAAAAGGAAGAGCGGCAGCAACTGCAGCAGGAGGAGGAGCAGCAACTGCAGCAGGAAGAGCAGCAGCAGTTGCAGGAGGAAGGGCAGCAGGAGTTGCAGCATGAAGAGCAGCAGAAACTGCAGCAAGAAGAGCAGCAGCAACTGCAGCAGGAGGAGCGGCAGCAATTGCAGCAAGAAGAGCAGCAGCAGGAGGAGCAGCATCAATTGAAGCAGGAAGAGCAGCAGGAATTGAAACAGGAAGAGCAGCAGCAAAGGCAACGAGAAGAGCAGCAGGAAGAGCAGCAACTGCAGCACGAAGAGCAGCAGCAATTGCAGCACGAAGTGCAGCAGCAATTGCAGCACGAAGAGCAGCAGCAACTGCAGAAGGAAGAACAGCAAGAGGATGAGGGAAAGCAGATGCAACAGGAAGAGCAGCAGCAGCAAGCGCAGCAGCAGCTGCAGCAAAATGAGCTGGAAGTGCAGCAGCAGCAGCATGTGCAGCAGTCCGATCAGGAAGAGAAGCCACAGCAGCAGCAGCAGCAACAGCAGCAAAATGAGCTGGAAGTGCAGCAGCAAGAAGAGGCCACCGAAAAAACACCAGCAGCAGCAGTTGCTCCGGCTGTTGCTGCCTCTGATGATGATGCAGTCGGACCTTACAGCTCTTCTGACCCAGCAGCAGCAGCAGCAGCAACAGCAGCAGTTCTCTCTCCTAAGAGGACCAACCCTAGGGAAGATTGCGTTGCTTATTTAGACGCAACAGACGGCTCAGACGCTGCAACAGCAACAGCAGCAGCAGCAGCAGGTGCGAAGGAGTCGAAGCCTGAAGCAGCAGCAGCACCTGCTGCTGCTGCTGCTACATCTGCTGCAGCATGTTCACAGATTGCTGAGGCTGCTGCGACGGAGTTGAGGAACTCCTTGTTTGGCTTGCGGGAGGAGGGCCCCCAGTCCCCCAAATCTGCTGCTGCTGCTGCTGCTGCTGCTGCTGCATGCGCATCCCCGCCGCCTCTGCTGCAAGACTCGTTAGAGCAGTTGACGTCTTTAAACAGCAGAGGGTCTCTCGGGGGGCCCCTGGGGGCCCCCCTAATTGCAGAAGATGAGGCTGAAGAGATACAAGAGCGGCTGCTGCAGGAAGTTGCGCAGCAGCAGCGGTCTGCTGCTGCGTGGGTTCGCAGCAGCAGCAGCAGCAGCAGCATGCTGCTGTTCCCTAACGTGGGGAGCGACAGGCTGCTGCCAGACGTGGGGAAGAGAGCTGATGCAGCAGCAACAGAAGATGCAGCAGCAGCAGAAGTTGATGCGCTATCTGAAGGAGAAGCAGAAGCTGTCTTTACAACTTTTCTAACGCGGAGACAGAAGAGACAGAGACACCCCAATAGAAGTGCTTCTGTATCACCTCCATCACCCCCTCTTGTCTTCGACTTCCTTTCTCACTCCCTTCCTGCTGCTGCTTCCCAGCAGCAGCAGCAGCAGCAGCAGCAGCAGCAGCAGCAGCAGCAGCAGCAGCAGCAGCAACGTGTCACACTGGAGGGAGTGCTGCCTCCTTTGGCGCTGTCTCCTTATGATTCATCAGACCCCAGATACACCTCAGGGGGCCCCACATCCTCTGGGGGCCCCCCCTCTACTGGGGGCCCCTCTGCACAGTCTACACGCGCGTCTGCTGGCAGCAGCCTAGCGGGGCTTCTTGCTGCAGGCGAGGGGCCCCCTATGGGGGCCCCCCTCTCCCACAGCCCCACACAGCAGCAGCAGCAGCTGCAGCTGCAGCAGCTGTTGCTGCTGCGACGCCGCGGTGGCGTTTCCCAGTACAACAATGACACCGAAGCTCTCCCTGCTAGTGCAGCAAGAACCGCTTCAGCAGTCTCAGCAGCAACAGGAGCAACAACAGCAGCAGCAGCAGCAGCAAGGAGCGAGGGAGGCAGCTGGAGGCGGGGGGCCCAGAGGGATTTCTGTGGCAGCTCAGACTTTAGCGTTTCTCCTGCAAGCATCGGCCTTGTTAGTGATTCAGCAAATCAGCAGCTGCCTTTCTACTCTCTTAGAGGGACACAGCGCTCCCCTGAAGCAGCAGCAGCAGGAGCAGCACCAGCAGCACCTGCTGCTGCTGCAGTAGAAGCGGTGCCCTTCCTTAGAGAGACACGCAGCAGGGGCCCGCAGGGTGCTGCGGGGGGCCCCCCAACTTCAGCCGCTAGCAGGGAGCTCCGCATGCAGAGAGAGGGAAGCAGCAAAGTCTTCAGCGGCAGCAGCAGCAGCAGCAGCAGCAGCAGCAGCAGCAGCACACTGCAACAGGAGACAAGCAGCAGACGCCGCCCTGCGGAGTTTGTCTCGACTTCGTCTCACTATGCCTTCACCCCCGCTCCCCAGAGCAGCTTCTCTTACGCTCAGCAGCAGCAGCTGCAGCAGCAGCTGCAACAGCAGCACCAGCTGCAACAGCAGCAACAGCTGCAGCTGCTGCAGCAGCAGGGGCTACGAACTCCCCGTCAATCATTGCCGGCCTCGGCTCCCCCAACAACAACCGCAGCAGCTGCAGCAGCAGCAGCAGCAGCAGCAGCAGCAGCAGAGAGCAGCAGACGGAGGCCCTCGCGCCGCGATCAGGAAACGCAGGCTCTCGTTGGGGGTTGGGGTATATCCGCTTCAAGAAAAGAAAAAATGCGAGAGAGACAACTAAGAGAAAGATTTGATAGATTAACAACCCTAGAAAAGCAGCAGCAGCAGCAGCAGCAGCAGCAGCAGCGGATGCTGCAGCAGCAGATGCTACAGCAGCAGATGCTGAAGCAGCAGCAATCTCAAGACTTGGAAGCGATAAATGAAGCAAAAGAAAATTTCAGGAGTCCCCGCAACCGAACTAACAGCAGAAACAAAAGCTCACACAGCAACCGACAGCAGCAGCAAAACCAGCAGCAACAGCAGCAGCAGCAGCAGCAGCAGCAGCAGAGGTTGCCTGTGGGAGTAAATGTGGGTGAACGCCTCAGTGGCGCTGCACGGACACCGCGGGGAGCCTCGCAGCAGCTGCAGCAGCAGCAGCGGCTGCCTTCTGACTTGCACAACGCCAGGGCAGCCAGCAGCAGCACAAGCTTCGAGGGCTTCCAGCAGCAACAGCAGCTGCTGCAGCAACAAGTGCTCCAGCAAGAGATGCGGCAGAAGCAAATGGAAGAGGATTTGCAGCAAGAACAACTGAAGCAACAGCAGGAGGAAGAACTGCAGCAGCAGCTGCTGCAGCAGGAGGAGGAGCAGCTACTGCAGCAGCAGCAGCAGCTCATGCAGCAGCAGCAGCAGCTGCTGCAGCAGCAACAGCAAATGAAAATAGACGAAGAACGGCGAGCTGAGGAGGAGCTGCAGCGGCTGATTGATGAACATTGGGAAGGTGCCCGGAGGCAGCAGCAGCGGCAGCAGCAGCTGGCGTTGCTGCAGCAGCAACAGCAGTCCTTTCTCTCGGAGTACCGCCGAGAGAGAGAAAAGAAACGCTTAAGCAGCAGCAGCAACAGCAGCAGCAGCAGCAGCCAGAAGCTGCAGGCCGTACCGGTCCCTGCCTTCCCCCAGCAGCCGAGATCATCATCAGCAGCAACAGAAGCAGCAGCAGCAACAGCAGCAGCAGCCCAGCCTAGCAGGCATCTGCTGGGTCGCGTACACACCAGCGAAAACACTCCCCGCGAGGGTGCACCAGACTCAGCAGAAGCAGCAGCAACTGCTGCTGCTGCTGCTGCTGCTGAGAGGCGCAGCAGACGCAGGAAGACCCCGAGCATATTCAATGTTGCTGCTGATGCCGATGCAGCAGATCAGGACTACAGCTCCTTCCATGCAGCAGAGGTAGGCGTTGCTGCTGCTGCTGCTGCAGCTGCAGCAGCAGATGAAGAAGCAGACAGCTGCGGAGATGTGTTTGGATTTGGGGGTATTAACTCGGGGCTGGCAGCTGCATGCAGCAACAAAAGAAGAGAAACTGCACAAGAAATAAAAACAAGAAAAGAGAGAAAACAGACAAATATCTGCGGAGAAGCTGCCTATACACCCAGAGACCCAATCATACAGCAGCAGCAGCAGCAGCAGCAGCAGCAACAACAACCGCACGGGCTGCCTTTTCTTCCAGTGTCAGCATCACATCCAGCAGCAGCAGCAGCAGCAGCAGCGAAGCAGGAAAGAACAGCAGACGTGGGGGTGGCTACAGATATATCAGTTGAAACTCCTCTTCAAGACATCTTTGGCTTAGAAGAAGAAAAAGAAGAAGAAGAAAGACTAGAAGATAGCAGCAGCGATGACGAAGTACTTCAATACAGCAACCGGCAGCAGCAGCAGCAGCAGCAACGGCGGCGAGGGAAGAATGCAGCAGCAGCAGATGCTGCTGCTATGAGCGATGACGCTGCAGTGTTTGCATTGCCTGTGGAGGTGCAGCAAGAACAGCAGCAATGGGAAGATGAAGCCCTAGCAGCAGCAGAAGGACGACAGCAGATTGCTGCAGCAGCCGCTGCTGCCTCTGCTGCTGCTGCTGCTGCTCGCGCAGCAGCAGCAGCAGCCACAGCATCAACAGCAGCAGCAACCCCCAGAAACCGCCCACCCCAAGAAGATGAGAATTTAGGTGAGGAGACACCCGAGGGCCTTGCGCGTCTGCAGCAGCAGCAGCTGCAGCAACAACAGCAGTTGCGGCAGCAGCAGCTGCAGCAGCTGCTGCAGCAAGAAGACCAGGCCCCTCCTGAACGCGTCCCTTTGACTCCAAGGCAGGGCAGCAGCAGCAACGTCGCCAGCTGCAGCAGCGTCAGCTGCAGCAGAGGTCGCAGCAGCAGCAGCAGCGAGAAGACTAGGAAGCCGCAGCAGCAACAGCAGCAGCAGCAGCACAGTGCTGCAGAGGGAATATCAAGACAAAGGGATGCTTCACTGCAACAAAGAGACGAGAGACGAAACAAAAAAATGATCACAGGGGCAGCCAACAGGGCCCCCTCCTACTTGACAGCCCGGAACAATAGTCTCCTGCAGCAGCAGCAGCAGCAGCAGGATGAGGACTGGGAGGCTATAGAAGCAGCAGCAGCAGCAGCAGCAGCAGATTCGACTGAATGCTGGAAAGGCGAAGCAATTGGTGCAGAGAGGAGGAGGCCGAGAGGAGACAGAAGAAGCAGCAGCAGCAAAACTAATCAAGGAAATTATCTCCCTTTCCTGTCTCCTGCAGCAGCAGCAGCAGCAGCTGCTGCTGCTGCTGCTGCCGACAAAACCCCACAAAGCGAAAGGCCACGAAGAGAGCGAAGGTCTAGCGAGCCAAGCTGGGGATACCCCTACTACTCTCCTGCAGCAGCAGCAGCAGCAGCAGCAGCAGCTGCTGCTGCTGCTGCTGCTGCTGAACGCGGTGAAGACAGCTGGGAAGAGAGGGCCCCCAGCCGCCTCCGCAGCAGCAGCAGAAGAGACAGAGGGACCCCCCGGCTGAGTTTCTCTGGGGCGCCTGCAGCAGCAAAAGCTTTAGCAAGGAAAATGACGGGGAAGCTAAAGCCCCTCTTCTCATCAGATTTAACAAAAGAAGCAAATGAACTGCAACGAAATACTTTAAGACAGCCCTCAATACACCAAGACATCCATGCTGCTGCACCTGCTACTGCGCACTATCGCAAGTACAACCCTGCTCCAGAAGCTGCT